GGGGCGGGCATCGCCTCGAGCGGCCGTGTGGGAAACGCCCATGGCCTCGCTCGGGAAGCCTGGGGTAATTAAATTAGGTTGTACTGTACATAGCCCTCGTTAGACAAGTCCCTTCAGGAGACAGAGAATAATAATGACACTTACGATGGGTTCTGAGGTGGCCGGTTTAACATCGCCCTTCGACTCCTCTTCTCACCCGTAAAGCTTATCCGTGCCGGGGGGAGGACCGTGCTGGTCTCGGGCTGGGCTTGTGGGGTCCTCTCTGCAGGGGAACATCCCCCCGCCCATCCCAAAGACAAGTGAAAAGCCCCTTTCCCTCGAGCGGGCGTTGGCTGGGGAACACCCTGTGCTAGTGGCAACGGTGACTACACTTCCGTGCTGATAGCCCGCGGATTCGGGAAGCTCTCGCGGAGGAGCCCGTGACGGCTCATCACCGGGTAGCTTTGCAGGGTGGCCATGTTGAGGGGTGGCCCCATCTCCTTGCAGCACGCGGGGGCATAGGTGACCCTCTCGCCCCCGTTGCGCACCATGTCGGCAGTCCGGATGTAAAAGGGGGAGCCGTACGGGGAGCAGGTTGGGCAGTAGTTGTGAGCCCCGTGGTGGTTGAGCTCGCTGGCAGAGGGAGCAGGGCTGCCCTGCCCGTCCACCATGCGGGAGGTGCAGGGCGTGGCGTGCCGAGGTGCGGGTGTTGTGCGGGGAGGTCGGGCTCTTCCTCTTCCTCCTCCTCCTCCTCTTCCTCATCGGAGTCATCTTTCTTGCAGCAATAGTACTATGCGGAAGGGAAGGGGTGGGATTAGGGGATGCGGGGAGCCTGGTGGGCAGATTTTAGCCAGCCTTGCCACACAGAGTCATGGAATGGGTTGGGCTGGAAGGAACCTTAAAGATCACCTAGTTCTGACCATGGTCAGGTCACCTCCCACTGGAATCATAGAATGTATTGGGCTGGAAGGGACCTTTTAAAGTCATCTAGTCCACGCCCCCTGCCGTGAGCAGGGACATCTTTAACTAGATCAGCTTGCTCAGAGCCCCATCAAGCCCGACTTCGAATACTTCCAGGGACGGAGCCTCCATCACCTCTCCGGACAAAGGAAAACTAGACCAGGGTGCTGAAAGCCCTGTCCAACTTGGCCTTGGACACTTCCAAGGAGGGGGCTTCCACAGCTTCCCTGGGCAACCTGTTCCAGTGCCTCACTATCCTGAGAGCGAAGAATTCCTAATATCTAATCCCAAATCTACCCTCTTTCAGTTTGAAACTATTACCCCTCATCCTGTCACTATACATTCCCTCTCCCCTTATGCCCCTGCCAGAAAAACCCTTCACAGGCCTCTTGCTGCTCTGGTCCATCAGTACCTGGGTCGTGCAAAGTAGCAGAAGGTGGACAAAACCTGGAACTGAGTGCTCCTGTGTGATCTACTTTAAGTGATCCTTCTCTAGCAGGAAGATTGGACTAGATGATCTCCAGAGGACCCTTCATTCTGTGCTAGAGGAAGGAACCACCGGGGAACTCATCCTCTCCCTTCCCAGCAAGTTTGCAAGTGGAAGGTATTTTACTGTGCCAATTGGAAACTCCTCCAAGTAATCATTGTGCTTTTCATCACACGGGCATTGCTGCACGGCACAGACTTCACAGTAACTTTTAAAGACCAGGAGGTTGTAGCGAGTTGTTGTTGAAAGCCTCCTCATTTAATTTAGGGGTGGGGTGGGGTGTGGAAACACCACCTAAAAACCTCCATCTGGTATTGCAAACCCAGCCAAGCCTACATCTAAATTAGCAATTGCTGCAGAGACTCAAAAGCCTTAGGGGAGTCTCCCCACGCTGGGAAGAGGAGAGGACGTAACTGCAGCACCTGGGGGAAAAGAAGATTTCAGCTCCCTGCCCACCACGGGCAAGAAAAACCCCTTTGATACCCCTCCTGCGGCAGCAGATCAGCCCGAGGAAGCAGCGACGCTGCTGGGGTTTGTGGCCAGGCAGGGGACAGCCGCGGTGCTCACCTGGAGCCTACAGTAGCAGAGCACAGCAATGATGCACAGAAGGATCACTGTCGCTAGGATTCCCCCGGTGATAACAACAGTTCCCGCTGTCATCCGACCGATTCTCCATCAAACTCTGAAAGGCAGGGCCACAGGGACACGCGTCATCCTGGGACATGAACCGCAGCTTTGTCGTCACATCAACAGACGTGTGACAGCCACGAGGCATCCCAAAATATTGTGTCCCCATTTCTCCTGCCCCGACCAGGAAACCGTCACCCAGTGTCATCCTCCTCCTCTTAGCGAGAGGACACCTGAGACGCAGCATCACGTCCCCTTGCTGCCATCGCTTTGGGAAACACCCAGCGGAGCCTCCCCACTTCCTCGTGCCAAAAGGGTCTATTTCCACCCTCCTGGTGGAAAATAACAGGTTCTGCTTCAAAACACAGAACCAATCCTAGGTTTCCACCAGGAAAAGCCAAAGGGCAGCCTTTGAACTCCGCAACCCTGTCAGTCTGAGCCCAAAAAATCCCACATCCCGGCTGCCCATAAGGCACCAACAGGTCCAACGTGGGCTTGGCATGAGCCGAGCAGCCTCCACCACCGTCCCCGTGCCATGGGACCAGGGGACTACTTACGTTCAGTGACGGAGGCTTTGGACCTGGAAAGAGCAGAGGGGGAGGTTAGCTGTTGCCGGCCAGCACCCCTCCCACAGGTTTCCTCGCTTCTTGAGAATTTGCCTTGATTTGGGACCTGTGGGAAACCTTGTTTCATGCTCCGCATCCCATGGGGATGGGGCTCAGCACACGCTTGAAGCCCCAGGAGCTTCCGTGGTGCAAAAAGCATTCTGGGACCTGCAGGTCGTGATGATCCTTATACTTATTTTTTGTTTTATTTTATATTTTTCATTTGGAGCAGGAAAAGGAGGCATTTCCCAAGCTCAGGTAAACACTTCACAGGACAAGGATGTGCTACCAGCAGCTCACAAATCACACAGCTTTGCAGGGCGAAGGCCTGGCTTAGTCAGCACTTGGCCTTTTTCTCTTTAAAATTAATTACCGAGGAGGTGGATGCATCATCTCA